CTCAATAATGTCTGGCAGAGCAAAAGAAAATTCAGATTCCAGAGTTGGATTGTGTTGCCGTGCTAGTCCCCCTTTCCCGGAAGCAGTGCCAGAGTCTTCCCCTGCCTTTCAGTCTGTAGGTAGTTTTTGAAGACTCAGACCCCTATTTTTACTTCATTGATAAGGATAAGAGTGCAGTGTCCCTCCGTTTGCCCCGGGGGCAGAGGGATGGGTGGAGGGTGGGGAGCCTACAGTCTCCTCAAGATTGCACTTATGATGTGTGTATTTCACACAAACACCGCATCACTGGTGAGCATCCCATAAGGCATGACTTAGGGCACCCGAAGGGACCCTGATCTCCCAATCTCAAATGAAATTGAAATCCATTAAGCCTTAAAAGGGACAAAAACGGACACATCATCCTGATGAAGGAGGCCATTAGCAGGAGGTCATAACAGCGTCCAAGAGTTTGCTGAACTTTCAAAAGGACATGGGAGGGCAAAGGAGACTGTCACAAGGTCATCACCTTTGCAGGGGGACTACAGGAGTGGGAACAGGACCACCATCCAGACACATACAACCTGTTATGCAGAAGAGCTTGCAAGAGGGGTGGAGGGCCTTCCTGACCAAGGCATCGGGGCTGGGTCGGACACGCACGACTCCCAGGGTGGGAGGTCCTCTGCCGCTGGTAAGACTCATAGCCTTCATTGGGACAGGGACTAGCCGGGGCTGCCCCTGGAAACACGTGAGAGCCCATCCCTAAGCACCAGTGCCTTTCCAGCTTCTGCTTGCAGCACACCTGCCCCTGTCCCAGTAGCCAAAGCCAATTGTCTTGGGTCCTTGCTGTATCAAATGCCACAAGTGCATGACTTTAATGACTAGAGAGGTGTTTCCTGGAAAGCTCAGAAGGCCACAGGTCCCAAGTCAGGGCCCAGCTCTAGGAGAAGGTGTCCTCTAGAGTCCACTCTGCTAAGCGGGAGAGCCGGGTCTCAGCTTCTCTGGGCCCGGTTCCTTGGCTCTCTACAGGGCATTCCACCCCCAGGTGGCAGGGGCAGGGTTACAGCGCTTACTCTTTTGGGGACCCAGTGCCACCCACAAGAGGAGTCACTGTGGCCAAATGCAGAGAGTCCCTACTGCAGGAGCTCAGGGGGAGCTGGCCCAGAAGACCGGCGACCATCTACCACTGCAGGCACCCGCACCTGTCCTGTTGCCCAGACTCGACGCCTATGCACGGTGTGCAGCTTGGGACAGGGCAGACCTGCACCGAGCTCCATGGGGTCTTCTGGGCGGCCAGCTTCGGGAAGCAGACGCGCAGGCCTTCTTGCCAGCCTGTGCAGGTCATTGCCGGAGCCCTTTGTACTCATCGGCGTGGAGGCCTCAGGGACTGAGCACGCATCCTGTTCCTCATCAAACTGAACACTGTCAGTGTCCACGGACGACCCTAGCCCGAGTCAGTGATGCCCACGCGAGGGCGTCAGGTGGACGTTCCGACTTGATCATGCGTCAGACAAGGGGCAGTGCGCATTCTTTGTTAAGAAGGAACGCCCCCTCTCGCTGACGTCATGTATTAGGTAATACTCCTGTGGGCTGTCAGTTCTCACGTTATCAACAGTTATCTTCTAACGCTGTACACTTTCCCTCTATTCGGATGTTTCACTTTTCCCATACTGGCCCCAGGAAAGCCCCTTCCACGGGGCTCTCGCTCTCCTTTGCCATGCCCATCAGATTTGGGGGACAGTTCCTTCCTTGCTGACACAAGCAAGAGGTCCCAGGCTAACCTCACACCGTCCCTGCTGCCCCCCTTTCCTTCCCCGCTCAGGGTGCTCACTGCCACCAGCATGTCTCTGGTCGGGCAGGCACATGTCTGGTGTTGCTGTCAGGTGCCACCCAGCTGGTTCACACCCACGAGACCCTGTGCACAACAGAAGGAACACTGCCCGGTCCTGTGCCATCATCACCATGCTCCTGTGCTTGAGCCTGTGTCCATCTTTCCTCTTTCTCACTGTCTCTCTACTTCCTCCTTCTCCCGTTGTCTCTTCTGACAATATGTCCAACGAATGTCAGAGGAAGTCCCCCCTGTCCTCGCCCCAAAGGAGCGCTCCAGCCAGAATCCTTCCAAGACAGGTCGCTCTGTCCATTGGGCAGTCCCTGGTACTTTCAACATTCTTAGCCAGCTTCACCATTCAATTGTCTCCCTTCTCCTCCCATCTTCCATATTCAACGCATAATGTACATGCCTATGGACAAGGGAGGGTACCCTGGTTTGGGTCAGGCATTCCTTAGTCCTCCAAGTGAACATCCTTGCTCTTCAATACTCTACAGCGGGTTTTCCTAATGCCATATATCTTTTGATCTCTGGACTGCTGCTTCCATGAGCATCGATTGTGGATCCAAGCCACACAAAATCCTTGACAACGTCAACCTTTTCTGCATCTGTCATGATGTAACCAGGTGTGAAGATTTGCATTTTCATGACATTGAGTTGTAATCCGTACTTGAAGATCGTTGATCTTCAATAGCAAGTGCTTCAAGTCCTCCCCGTTTGCAGCCAGGAAGGCTGTACAGTTGCATATGGAAGTGGTGAGTAAGGCCTCCTCTACTCCTGCGGACACAATCTCCTTCACCTGATGAGTTGCACAGCATACTGATTGAATAAGCATGCTGCGAGCACACAACCCAGACACACACCTTTTCTGATTGTGAGCCAGGCCATATTCCTTTGTGCCGTCCGCTCAGCTGCCTCTCAATCCACGTACAAGTTCTGCATGAGCACAATGAAGTGGTCCGGAATGCCCATTCTTCTCAAGGCCCTCCATAGTTTGTTATGATCCACCTAGTCGAATGCCTTGGCATAATCAACAACACACAAGTAAACATCTTTCTGGTAGTCTCTGCTTTGAGCCAAGACCCATCTGACATCAGCAGTGATATCCATTAATTCACGTCGTCTTCTGAATCCCGCCTGAGCCTCTGGCAGCTCCCTGTCAATGGAGTGTTGTAATCATTCTTGGATGATCTCCAGCAAAATGTTACCTGCGTATGATATCAGTGATATTGTTCTATAATCAGAGGGTTCTGTTGGGTCGCCTTTCTTCAGAAGGGGAACAGATAAGGATCTCTTCCAGTCAGCTGGGCAAGGCACACTCTTCCAGATTTCACAGCTTACCCACCCGACTGGGCTTCCAGCGCATGCTCAGCCTGTCGCGGCATTTCAAAGGCTATGCCGCCGACAACTGGAGCTCGGCTTCCCTTAATACTTGCAGTGCAGCTTGGACTTCTGTGTTCAGCACCACTGGTTCTGGCGGATTGGC